CTCCGGGGGGCAGCCCCTCGCAGGCGCCTCGGGAGCGTTTGTACACCCTCTGCAAATCGCAGCGAGCCAGGAGTGAAAGACAAGGGGCTTTCCACATGTATATCAAACTAACAAAAACGTATTGAACGTTAAGGAAACGGCATTGATGGCTAAAGCCGTATGAATCATAGCCTCGTTCAAGTTGGAGAAGACCTTTAAGATCATCCACTGCAACCATTATCCTAGGACTAAGTCCACCATGAAACCATGTCCCTGAGCACCACACCTACACGAGTTCCTCCAGGGATGATGACTTCACCACTTCCTTGGGCATCCTGCTCCTGTGGATGATGACCTTTCCAGTGAAGAAGTTTTTCCTAAGATCCAATCTAAACCTCCCTGGCACAACTTGAGGCCATTTCCTTTTGCCCTACCACTAGTTACTGGGGAGAAGAGTCCAACACCCACCTCACTGCAACCTCCTTTCAGGTAGTTGTAGAGAGCAAAAAGATCTTCTCTCAGCCTCCATCAGACCAAACAATCCCAGTTACCTCAGATGCTCCTGGTAAAACTTGTGCTTTAGATCCTTTACCAGCTCTGTTTTCCTTGTTTCGATACAGAACCTCACTGTCCTTGTAGTGAGGGGCCCAAAACTAAGCACAGTATTTGAGGTGCTGCTTCACCAGTGCCAAGTACAGGGGACCAATTACCTCCCAGGTCCTGCTGGCCACACTATTTCTGACACAAGCCTGGATGCTGTTGGCCTTTTTGGCCACCTGGGCACACTGCTGGTTTATTTTCAGCCAGCTGTTGACCAATACCTCCAGGGCCTTTTCTGCTGTCCAGCTTTCCAGCCACTCTTCCCCAAGCCTGTAGTGTTACATGAGATTGTTATGACCCAAGTATGGGACCCAAAGTTAGCTTTCTGTAGCAAATGAGGGAAAATGCAACCAAACCTTACCTGAAAGGGTATTGCACACTAGCTTGTACTATGTGAAGTGCATGAGGTGATTCTGGAGCCTTTTGAGGAACATCTTGCTCTGAGGACACAGAGCTTTGTGCTGTAGAGCCAGGATGGTTTGTTTGCACTGCGTGAACTAGGTGGGCTCCCATGTCCTCAGGAAAGTTCACCATTCCCTAACGGCAGGCTTGCCCAGTTGCTCTTGAGCATGCAGGCTGTCATCTGACAATACGCAATAAAATATCAATCTGGTGTCCTTACAAGAAGTCCTTACAGCAAAATGTGTCCAAAACTTTCATACTGTGAAATCATAGTCTGTAGTGTCTCTGCATTATTACCTGTGGTAAGGGGTTAGTTCTGCGGTATAAGGTGCAGTAAATCAGTAAATTAGCTTAGCCTGACTACAGTGCAACACAAGCAAGTAACAGGGAGCAGCCCTGGCAAAAGCTTGTGACAAAGAAATCTGAATGATTCCTTAAGCAGCCAGCACAGGCCTGGCAGACCCAGTGCTGAGCTAGAACTCATAAAACCTGCCGAACCCAAGCTGTGCCTGCATCTGTGGTGCAATTAAGCTGTGACACGAACAATCTGTCTGCAGATAACTGTAAGATGACTGTATGTACAAATTTTACAATTCACATTAATTAATACTTACAGCTAGAGTGAAAAAGTATCACTAGTATTTGGCAACAAATAGCAAATATCATTACAACTCACAAGCATGAAGTTGATGCATCAATAATTATGAGACAGCAAAGTCATGATACTGTACATGTGCATTTTGAATTTGTAATTTAATTTTGATCTCCCTATTCTTATAATCTCTTATGATAGACAACATAAATTATGTTACCATAGCACACAGAAGTCCCACTCACAGGCACTATTGCCTTGAGTGTTACACAAATACAGAGCAAAAGATAACACTGCAAATTGTTGACATAGGCCAATGAGACAAAGGATGATAGAGTATGAAGAGATTATGGGAATGGTCAACATGCCAACAACAGATCTTTGCATACAAGCAGCTTAGCTACTGTCAATTTTCATAAGCAACACAGTAATAGAGCCCATTAGGGAGGGAAAGCTTTGCATGATAATAATGAAAGTGCTCTTTATTTAGAAATTAATTCTAGTTTCTTTACCGTATTACCAGTGTTCCTCCCACCATGTTGGTTCAAATCAAGAACAACTGTGTCAGGACAACAGTTTCTGCTTCTTCTGTTACTCTGAAGTCTGCAGTCTACATGGGTTAGCTTGAGCAATTGTTCCTCCTAAACCCTAATGTTAAGGAGGGTAACCTAAGAGGGGCACACTCTTGCTACCTATGGCAAAAGACAGAGCATTACAGGCCACAGCATCTAGTAGATTTCTACTCTCCCCTCTTCTGATAAAAGTGTCATCTTCTGGCAAAACAAAAAAAGGCAGAAAGTTCAAGCAGTGTCCTATAATCATCCTAAGTGGCTGCTCAACCCCAGGTGTTTAGGCAAATGTAGAAGTTCATAGAGGTTTATCCATGTGCCTGACATTTATGGCTGGTGCCTTCTCTAGCCTTTGCTGAAATCTTGCAACTTACAAAAGAGTCATCAGCCCTGGCAGTGTTTGAGGATTGTTAGTTGTCAGGGCCTGGAGCACAGCCCCCTTTTAGGAGTGCCGTTTGCTATGTTAGAGTCTAGCTGGCTGAGCCCAAGGTCAGCTTCTCTGCTGATAAGATCTGTTGTGAAGAAGGCTAGAATTGAGGGCCTCCCTCTCTTTTCCTCTGGGAACTGCTTTTAAACTGAGCCAGTACCACTGGCCCTTGTCTGTTACATCACAGCTGGGCACCAGCTACATCTACACCTGGTCTCCTACCTACTCGATCCTGACTTTGATCTTGACTCAGACCTGCTGGCTGGGCTTCCTGGTTTGGCCTCTGATCTGCCTTGTCACTATGAACTTCCTGTGTAATCATCAGACTTTGTCTGACCTTGATCACTGTCTGACCATGGTCATGACCCAAATGTGCTGCTCCACATCCTGCTTCTCTTTGGTGAACTCTCTGCTCCCACCTGCCTTGGTTCCACACTCCACCCATTGCTTGCCTTCCCTTGTGGAGCAGCCAGCCCTTGCTGACCCCTGGCACTGCCACACTTAAGAATTTAATCACATGGGGCTGTTGATATGCAGAACAATTGTGCTGACTGTCCACAGAAAAAGAAGCATAAGCCACGTGAGGTACCAGAGACACACAGATTCACATCTCACAACTCAGCTACTTGCTCCATACGGCTTTCTTTAACATTAAATGAATTTCTACACATCACAGTTGTGTAAAGATTTATAAAGCCAGTGCACCCAGCTGTTAGGGCAGCTCTGACTTGGAGGAAGTATTTGCAGAATGCAGAAGCAGGGTAAAATTTCTTTCCTTGCATGGGGCTCATTACGACTGCTGCAGCACTTCAGTTATTCTTGGCTGCTAGATGGGCCCTGAAGGCTGTATACTGCCGAGAGTACAGATGGTCAACATGCATATATTATGATTATTACTAGGCTGTAAGGCCTATACATGAACTAGAATCCTGTTGAGTTAGGTTTAATATACTTATGCACAAGCATTTGAGGATAAGACGGGAGATTACAGACACACACTGATGGAGGAGAACCATTTTAGGCAGTACAATAGACAGTGGTCTCAGTACACCAGGAAACTTACCATTATTGAATTTAATCACAAGAGGTAATCAGCAAGGAAGGTTTGAAGATGAAAAATGATACACTTTTGGGGTTATATAGGACACCTGGGACAAACGTGGGGAAACAATAAAAGCAAATAAGAGGAAAATGAAAAAAGAAAAAGGTACTTTTAAAAAAATTTAACAAGTGGTTATAAAATATTGATGTATTCAGCTGATGAGAGACAGGACCCAAATACTTGGTACAAAAGATGGATGATGTCATGTGGGAAAGGGATAGAGAGTGAAAGCTTGCAGTTAATAAAAGACACTTGTCAAGACCAAAGAAAATAATGTTCTGAGAGTTAAGATGAAAGATGAAAACACAGAGAAGTGGTGTGGATAGATAAAGGGGACCATATAATAGAGACCTGATGCAGAGGGGATCCTAGAGACTCAGAGTTGGTCTTTAATAGGTGATTTATGTGATAATTTTAGTTGAACCTATGTCTGCTTTGAAAAAAAGGGATCATTTTACTGGTTTTATACTGGCTTAATGCCCAATAAAGAAACTGTTAATAATTTATCTTTCATTACCAACTTCAAAAACTAACCACTATTCCAAAATGGCAGTTCAGGAAGGTTAAGAATTGAACAAGTAATTAGTATAATTTAATGTGATAGAATGACTCAAAAACCAGCAAATATCTGGGAGAGAACCAAAATTGCCTGATTCAGGCATGAATTCACTGGGACAAGAAAACAGCAGTGAAGAAAGCAGGAAGATACAGACATTAGAGGTATGCATGCATTTATAGAGAGACAGTGGTGCCCTTTCCATCTTTTGCTGCTTCTGTAAGTAGTATATTTTTTTGTTGCATTGTTTGTCACTGTGGTCATCCTTTGCTGATTCCTCCTCAGTTGACTCCTTTCTATCCTCAACTCTACCGTTTATTCACCCAAACTGCACTTCCACACCTCACCCAATCAGTATCTTCTGTCCTCCTATTGGCCTTGCCGTCTTCCTTAACTCAAAGATTCCCCCTCAGTTGTCCCAAGCACTTTTAACACTTAAATATTTCCTGCTGCCACCATGCCATTGAGATTCCTAATTCCCCATGCATTCTCAGTTTCCTCTTACTGTCCTTCTGTTGTTGGTGACTTCTCCAAATTTTCCAAAGATAATTTCTGAAATCTTGATATCTTTTAAAGAGTACTCTAGGAAACAACACAGTGGCTCACAGTCTTATTGCACTGTAAAACTTTAAATGTCTGCCTTTAAGAATATGTAGAGTGTCTTCTAAGGTATTAAAAATATAAGAGCTGGTGTGATTGAGTGTCTTAAGAAAAAAATAGTTGTTTTGATTGCGTAAGATACCAGAATACCTTGTCCTAGAATCTATGTTTGTATGTTTTAGTTATATTCACCACAGTAGAAACAATAACCAAAATGCGAAGTGAGCACAAATAATTTGATAGATTGTTGTACAAGTATTTTGTGGTAACTCCAATGAAAGCATGTGCTATTTAGTGAGCTGCTTTCTTTTTCTGTTTTTTTCCTTTGATCTTCACAGCTGTCTCCAAAAGAATATTTTCAAGTACAGAAAGCAATATGCAACAGTGCTAAGATCCTGCTGACAATACACCAAGAACAAGAATGGAAGTAGATTTATTCAGCAATTCTACTGTTGTAAACAGTTCATCCATCAACCATAAGCAGTTAGAAGGGCACAGCCTTTGGGAAGTTGTTACTATTGCCACTATAACTGCAATTGTAAGCTTAATAACCATAGTGGGAAATATTCTGGTAATGATATCCTTCAAGGTTAACAGTCAGCTCAAAACTGTCAACAATTATTACTTGCTCAGCCTTGCCTGTGCAGATCTCATCATTGGAATATTTTCTATGAACCTTTATACATCTTACATACTCATAGGCCATTGGTCTCTTGGAAGCCTTGCCTGTGATCTCTGGCTAGCACTGGACTATGTAGCTAGCAACGCCTCAGTAATGAACCTCCTAGTCATCAGTTTTGACAGATATTTTTCCATCACAAGACCTTTAACTTACAGGGCCAAGCGCACACCCAAAAGAGCTGGCATCATGATTGGTCTGGCTTGGCTCATTTCCTTCGTGTTGTGGGCACCTGTAATCTTGTGCTGGCAGTATTTTGTGGGTGAACGAACAGTGCCACCAGAAGAGTGCCAGATACAGTTTTTGTATGAGCCTATTATCACCTTTGGTACTGCAATTGCTGCTTTTTACATTCCAGTGTCTGTGATGACCATTCTGTATTGCCGCATCTATAAAGAGACAGAGAAACGTACCAAGGATCTTGCTGAACTGCAAGGTTCAGAGTCGGTGGCAGAGTTTGAGATGATAAAGCCTCAGAAAGCTCTCCTGAAGTCTTGTTTCAGTTGCAAGCAACCAAACATAGTCAAAAGAGAGAGGTGCCAGGCTTCCTGGTCTTCATCTAGTCGAAGCACATCAGCTACAGTCAAAGTCTCTCAGGCAGCAAGTACTTGTAACGACTGGGCTAAGGCTGACCAGTTAACCACCTGCAGCAGCTACACATCTTCAGAGGAGGAGGATAAACTTGCTGCTGATTCCATTTTCCAAGTATCTTACAAAAGTCCATCTAAAGGTAAGGCTGAAGAGTTTAATGAGAGTATGGATGTTGTTGTCAAAGACCAACCTGAAGAACATGATTTTGAGAACCAGCAATACTTCTTGTCACCTGCCAAAAGCCATGTACAAAAAAGTAAAAAATGTGTATCCTATAAATTCCGGTTGGTGGTTAAGGCTGATAGCACTCGGGAAGCCAACAATGGTTGCAGTAAAATAAAAATAAATCCTTGTTCTGCTGCTGTGTCAAAGGATCCTTCCATCAAAAGTATGGATCCAAATATAAATAACCAAATCACCAAAAGGAAACGGATGGTTCTTATAAAGGAACGCAAAGCAGCACAGACTTTAAGTGCCATTCTTTTGGCTTTTATCATCACATGGACTCCCTACAACATTATGGTTTTGATCTCCACATTCTGCTCTGACTGCATTCCCCTGACTCTCTGGCACCTTGGATATTGGCTATGTTATGTGAACAGCACTGTTAACCCCATGTGTTATGCCCTCTGTAACAAAACTTTCAGGAAAACTTTTAAGATGCTGCTTTTCTGCGAGTGGAAAAAGAAAAAAGTGGAAGAGAAACTATACTGGCAGGGCAATACCAGACTGCCATAATTGCTCTTATATAGACAATAAGGGGCAAAACAGATATTCATGTATCCTAGTAAACTGACTTTTCAAGACTTACATCTTTTCGAAGCTGTTGCTTAATATGTCTAGGGGTTAAAAAAATTGCAGAAAAGTAAAATTTTGCATTAAAGTACTATGTTTGGGATAAAGAAGTCAGGAGCTGCTGTGAGCAGCACAGGCTGTTTGTGATAATGCAGTAAATCTATGTTAAAGATATTAAATTTGGGGTCATCTGTCATTGCATGAGAATGTGTAGAGGAAATTATAAACTACTAGAAATTAGAGTGGGACAGTCAACCAGTCATCAGGTCAGGTCATCCAGTCTTTCTTTTTATAGTTCCTTTCTTCCTTTCTGTTGTATTGTCTGTTTAGTTTTCATTGTACCAAGCCATGGAGCTTGTACTACTTCTGTTTTGAGACTTTTCCACCTGCTGTTGTAATGAAACAAGGACTGTATAAAGGGGGAAATGCTGCCATCCATTCCCAATACGAAATTGTTACAGATATTCATAATAGCCCATATGAAAACACATATTACAGGATAATGTAATACTGAGAAAATTTCCACTTTAAAGATTACTTTTGTGGAGACATAGGAAGGGCTCATAGTGGAAGAAATAGATAATGTATTTTGTATATGAAGAAGCCAGTTCCAATCTCAGTTCCAAAATGCAAGAATTCACTGTCACTTGTAAAAAGGATTTTGGTTAGCAGATACCTTTGAATTTCTCTATGTCCCGATGCCTCTGAATGAAATTTTAAAATTTTATGTGATAGGTACAAAGGTAAAAATCAGAACTGACTGTGAAGCATAATTGACATAGTCTACTTTACAACACACGGAAAGTCTTTTTTATAGCCTTCTCTGTTCGGTTTCCCATTGCCCCAAAAGTTTCCATTAATAAATAATTATGCAGAACAAGACAAAAATTTGTATTGATGCCCTGTGCACTTACCTACATGTTACAAAATTATTAAGAACAGTGACGGAATTGGCACCTCTGAAAGAGGAACTATAGAACCATAGAATGGCTAGGGTTGGAAGGTCATCTAGTTCCAACCCCCCTTCATGGGCAGGGACAATTCCCACTAGAGCAGGTTGCTCAAAACCCCATCCAACCTGGCCTTGAACATTTCCAGGAATAGGGCATCCACAAAGAAAGTTTTTAAAATAATTTTTGAATATTTCTATAAAACTGTAAAGGACACTTTGCACTTTTGTAGCACTTTTTATCTTTAAATAGGTTTACAAATACTAATCAGCCTCAGGTTTTTGAAAACGCAATTATCTCCAGTCACTAACTTTTGGTGCAGCAGAACCGTATCTGCTACACTGCGACAGGCTGGAGTCAACCCATCAGATGGCTGTGGCTTCTGGGACTGGGGTGTACTGGCCTAGTTACAATGAACTGAGACTCCATCCACTAGCTGGGGTTTGCCAGGGCTTTGGGTTTGTGATGACAACACTTCTGTGGCACAGTTGAACTGCATCTGTCTGTCTGATGTCAATGTTAGATTGGCAGGAGTCCAGCAGCATTGCCTGGGTGAGTGCATAAGCAAGGAGCTGCCTCCAGCAGCCATTGGAATGGAGCTGGTGACCTGGCTTCTTGTGGTGGGAACAAGCATGAAGCCTCAGAAAAGGCCACAAGAAAACAAAGTTAGTGGTGATGGAGTCATAAGGAATGAAGTCCTGAAGTAAAGAAATGTTTATGAATAAATGAGAAAGATCTCTGCGTACACAAAGTTCAGATTCAGTTCTAGCCTTTCTATAAAAAAGTGAGATGCTCTGAAACGTTAGCTTGGGCCAATCTTCATATATCTATTACATGCTGTAGTGGGACATTGCAGTGGTGACACAACCCAGTTGCACATTTCAGGGATTGTATTAGTTATCCTGAATTCATCCTTGCTCTCAGTGAGATTGTTCATATAATTTGTTAAATTATCATATCATCAAAATGTTTCCCTACCGATATGTAATTCCTCCATGTCAACAACCACAGTACACGTAATTAATATTTTTTATCCTCAATCTCCAGATGGGAAAATTGTGTCAGTGAAAGATTAGCAGTGTAGTAATGTAAACCTACAGATATGTAATTCCTCCATGTCAACAACCACAGTACACGTAATTAATATTTTTTATCCTCAATCTCCAGATGGGAAAATTGTGTCAGTGAAAGATTAGCAGTGTAGTAATGTAAAAATATTATCTCTAAATTCACGATTGATTTTGTAACACACCATACTGTGCCTGTTAATTTTTTTGCAGAGGCATATGTTTGCTTATTAAAGAGAAGTACGGGTCTTTATAAAGGCCCTTTCATCAACTTTCCTCTGCTATCTAGCTTTTCCTGTGTACACTAAGTACAAGTCAGTTATCATAGTGGGTTCATATTATATTACACTGGATCGGATATTCAGTAAACTGTGTTTGATTTTTAACAAATGAAATGTGTCCTTCTGCTGCACAAGCTGTAGTTAAAGGCAAAATTTATGAGGTAGTAACAGTTTCTGCTAGCTGCGGTGTTGTTGCTGAAGTAAAGCATTGGCTTCTACTGAAATTAAATGGGATCTTTTTTGTTGGTTTTAGCTTCTGCTGAACTAGAGTGTTCTGTAAATCGTTGTGGATTCTGTGCTCAGTAAATGTATTAGAATCACAGTGATGGATGCAACAATGTTGGCTCAATGTACTTGTGAAATATGTGCCCAAACTAGGCTGCTAGCACTTTGCCATGTGAGATGTTACATGGCCAAACATGAGTTACACTGTAAATACCTAATATTACATGAGGAGGTGTGTGATGCTTTATTGTTGTGTAGGATGTTTATTCTTAAATCAAAACCACAAAAAGAAAAGCTCGTCTTCATCACAGTATCAGTCAGTAATTACTTATATTTTGTTTTCAAATTATATTTTGTACCTTTAAAAAGTGTTGTGGGACTCCTACAGTGTGGAATGATTTTGTTACCTGTATTTCTGTCCTTTTAATTAATCTTTTCCTAATCCTATTATTGATTATGTTCATGGTCATGGACTGGTGAAAAGGTCTTTTTTTTTGTAAAATTATATTTTATTTATACATAATTGCATACACATACATATATATAGATAGATATGTATGTATGTATTATCAATATAGGTGCATAAATATACATCCCTAACTAAGCTTTTCAGAGACTCAAGACTTCTTTAATATTTTGGAATATTGACTCTTCCCACAAACAGGGGGTATAATTCCTGTCTCATCCTTTACATATGTATCAGCCTCCCTATATATTCCAGATCCCCATTAATTACTGTAAATATAATTTAGGTTTATAGATATGTACTTGGAAAGAGTTCCCAAAATTTTTAAGTGCATATAGAACATCTAGTTCCAGTTCACTTTCTGTGACTACTTAGTACAGAGTGAAGAACTTTTCAAAGGACAGGAAGTTGGGACAGAACATAAATGCAGGGTTTCCTTTATAGAAAAATCCGGCTGAATGGAACAAGAATGAAATCAAAAGGGTTATAGAGAAAATACTCTAAGAACCTGTAAAATATTATAGAGCATATTTAGCCATTAATTATTTATTTCAATTGCTAATCATGCTTCTTCTGCTCAACAATGCATGTCAATTAGTAACTGCTATTAACTGTCAAAAAATATTTTTATATGTGGATTTTCTTCCTCATATCTGTTACCCATAAAGAGACCTGCACGGTGATATATGGACCTGAGGAGTCTAGGTCCAGAGACAGTGATGCACTTAAAGGCAGTATCCATAACTGTGCTTTCTTAGCACCCTTTCGATACTGTTCCAATTTTAGAGCTGAGCCTCATGAGAAGTCCCAATATTTAATTTAATTATTCCAATAATTTTATTTCCCACATAGGGCTTTTCTCAGAAATCTGTGGCAATGCATCCTTTTCCTGTTTGATAGTTGAGCTAGAATCATAGAATCATAGAATCATTAAGGTTGGAAGGGACCTTAAAGATCATCAAGTTCCAACCCCTTTGCCATGAGCAGGGAACCCTACCACTAGATCAGGTTGCACAAAACCTCATCCAGCCTGGCCTTAAAAACCTCCAGGGATGGGGCATCAACAACCTCCCTGGGCAAACCATTCCAGTTCCTCACCACCCTTAGAACGAAGAATTTCTTCCTAATATCTAACCTAAATCTCCCCTCTCTCAGTTTAAAACCATTACCCCTTGCCCTGTCACTATTTTCTCTGATGAAAAGCCCCTCCCCAGCTTTCCTGTAGGCCCCTTTCATGTAGTGGAAGGCTGCTATAAGGTCTCCCCAGAGCCTTCTCTTCTCATGACCCGAACATGTCAGACTACTTTAACTAATAAATTTTAATGCAAATGTAGCTAAGGAGAGTCACATACCTGAAGGAATAAAAATGTCACCAGGATGTGGTAAGTATGTTAAATTTAAATGAGAAGTCATGATAACAATTAAGGAATCCCATATCAATCTGGAAGATGCTGCTTTTGCATAAACCACAGTTGTTATGAAACTGGATACCCAGTTTGAAATGGAATTGAATACCTGTGGACTTTCTCCAGACTATGGGTTTTTAACAGAAATATCTAAGATGCTTCTTTACTTGTGGTAGGAAACACAGGTTCCAAATCACCCCTTCATAGTTTGGGATCCCCAAAATCCTTGTACTGAAGAATTTTTGTATTGTTCTTTTAAAAATTACTCTAATTTTTAGGGGACATACATGCTTCTACCTCCTCTGGATTCTTTTCTCCAGGAAAACAAAAAAAAATATCAAACAGGGTGGTGTAACTTTCCTCTGAATTAATTTTCTTTGCTTTCTATAGACATAGAAATAATATAAAGGAATCACTTGGGCGTAGTGAGAAACAAGTACCTTTTTCCTCAGTTGTACATAACAGTCGAGCTGGAGTTACAGTTTGATGTGATCTGTACATCTAGGTGCTCCTCTGTTAGAAAACACTCTGCCCAAAAAATTCCAAAA